TACACACATAGAATGCGGAGGTGCGAGGGACTGTTTGTAGCAAGTTTATCAATTTATACTTTAGAGTATTAGTAATGTATGAATGGTACGAACATAGACTGTATTACAGTCTCTTGTATCCGCATTTAACCAATGTAATTCTAGTATCGTAGGTTTAAAAACTAAAAGGGGATCTGCGTTTTGCAAGACACAGGATTGCTATAGATTAGACTTCGGCTTTCGGGAATGACGATGGGTCACTTATTTTCGATTTGATCTTATGACTTTCATTTAAATACTGGATAAAGTCAATCCGGCACAGAACACTTGAGCTCGAATACAGGATATCATCACCAAGACACCATTGGAGAGATTCAAAAGCCTGTTTTTAGACGAATGAAAAACACATCCAATACAAATATTCATAGGCATTATTTGTATCTGTACAGCCAAGTAATATCATAGTATTAATGAATAGAGATACTGTAAGAGAAAATACACTATAATAGCCGATTCAATAACCTGATAATAAAATCTTCTCACAGTTGTTTGTCTGCTCGCTCTATGCATTTTGTGGTTCGTTTTATAAGTCATTGTAACAGCAATACGTAACGAACCGGGCACAAATGAACGTGTTCGCATTGTTATGTTTTAAAAACTCTGGGTAAAAGTTTTCTTTTCATATGTGACAGAATAGTGTCGATCTATAGATCTGTATAGATCATAGATACTTATATTCATTGAAATCGGAGTATAATACAAGTTAAATGAAATGTTTTTGTATTGTAAAATTATTAGTGAGCTTACTATTATAAACACCAGAAATGTTTACAATCATGTGCCAGCCGCATGCCGGTACCCAATTTGTTATGTAAAGATTATTGGCCGCTATAGCAGTATACACTCTGCAATCCATCGAGTGCGGCAAGTGTTTAGAAAAGTTAAAGTGCGTGCAAAATTTAGCTGAGGCCACAGCGTGTAGAAGAGGCCACTCAGGCCTTTCAAGCAGTTCATTTGTTTTGACCGGGTTAACATAACACCCGCTGTGCCACAGATTTGTTTACTTGTCTTGTAACTATTTTTGTTTTCTCTCTACTTCCTTACCGCTTTTCACTTGTATGGTATGGCAGCAATAAATTATTTAGCCATACATGCCTCTACCACATCCATCTTCCTTTAGCAGTATTAGAAATTCGTGGTGGTAGAGAACTGGTTGATTGAGTGAAAATCCATATGGTTCTGCAAATTGGACATGCAACAATTGATGGCTAAATTTATTTTGGTTAAAACGATTTGTTATATATATTATTGACTTTAGTTGAACAGCCCAACAAGTAACAAATCAGAAAAAAACACTCGCTGATTGCTAAAACAAAAACTTCTACTAAGAAACAAAGTTTTATTTCTTTACATTGTTATAAATTGAACTCTAAAATTAAACTAAATGGAGAAAGTTCAAGTTATCAAGCATGTCACCACTTCACCTACAACAAAGCCACAGATTTGTATAAACAGACATCAACGCAATTTGTAACTTGTATACTTATATGTATAACTCTTTATCTATCTGGATTAGTTTAGGTGTTGTAACACCGTAAGCGTTAGGCGAACAAAACAGATATATTTTGTGCAATTTTTTGCGAGACTATAAAAACAAGATTAGTTAAATTGTAGCACGATTATACTTAAATAAACGATTACAAATTCGAATTTTTATATAAATCCATTGTATATTTGTGCCTACCAGTGTAAGCAAATTAGTTCATATGCAAACTAGATATTTATGCCAATAAGTTCTAATAAGGAAGTAAGTAAAATGATAAACTAATTAACAATAAACAAAAAAAAACGTTAACTTCGGTTGCTGTAATACCCTACACAAATAACGAAGTTTGCCTACAAGAACTTGATTTTGACTGTTCAGTTTGTATAACAGCTATATGATATAGCAGTCCGATCTTGAAAATTGTTCGAGGTATTATAAAATTGACTAAGAAAATAATCTATACTAAATTTCGTGGAGATATTTTGTCAAATGAAAAAAATGTCCATATAAGCACTTGATAACGATCGTTCAGTTTGTATGGCAGCTATATGCTATAGTGGTCCGTTATCGACCGTTCCGACAAATAAGCAGCTTCTTGTGGAGAATATCTCAAAAACTGTTGGACTAATTGTATAGTGTATATACAGACAGACAGACTCAACTCATCATGCTAATCACTTAGATATATATTTTGTAGTCTCCGACGTTTCCTTTTGGGTGTTAAAAACATCTTGTCAAAGTTAATATACCCTGTTCAGGTATATAATAATTAAGATATATTCACTCTGTTAAAGCTTAATTGAAGTACACACTCCCAATGTTTAATTTCATAGGAACATACGCTGGACGTTTATACGCACTAAAGGCTCTGCGACACGAGTATTTAATAGAAAGTTTCGCATTGATTTCTGGGTTAAAATTTGGCATATTTTAAGTATATTTACTTTATACTAAAATCATAAACACAAATTATATATAATTTATTAATTTTACTTTAGCCGTCTAGTGTATGCGTCTATGTGTATATTTAAATATCATTTTTTTATTTCTGCTTGTTGATTGCTGGAAAAAAACTAAAATAGATATAAGTTTATGTATTTTAAATGCTCAAAGTATATACATATGCATGGGCCATGACACAATTTTACTCGTTAAAATATTTAAAATGTGGGACCATAAAAATTTTAATAAGCATGGCCCTCCACTTGCAAAACTTGCATATTACACTTTTTATATTCTCGCCAATATGTTGCTACAAAGTAGTTTCCAGTTTTGTTCACCTAACGGTTGTTTTTAACAGCCAACATTAATCGAGATAGATACCTAGTTATATAAATGTAAATAATCATAATGACGAGACGAGTTGAGTTCCGAGCGACTGGACGGCCGACCGTTCATGCAAGCGATAACTTAAGTAAAAATGGAGATATCTTCATGAAACTTGGTATACGTTTTTTTTGGCTTCCAAAACCAATCGAAATATATTAAATGCTATAACTAAGCTTCACATAATAACACACTGTTATTTGTTACAACGGATCGCATTAGGGAGGGCATGTGCGGTTTGAAACAATTTGAAAGTTGGTGTGGCTCTGCCCCTAAAAGTTTAATGTACACATATCTCCTAACCACTTCAGCAAATCAACCAAACCGTTTTGAAAGTGAAAACAGGGAAATTGGATTAAAATCCCGTTCGATCCCATATAACGGGTATATTATAACTACTAAAATGCGATAACTTAATAATAAAAGCGTCAGGGACAGTAAAATTGCATCCAAGATATAGCAAATGTAAAATTTTTGAACTTTCGTTGACTTTATACGCATATATCAGCAAATATGTGAGTTATTTTAATGAAATTGAGATAGCGTTGTAGTAATTGTGTATCCGTGCGCCTAAAATGAGATAAAATGAATTATAGTGCAACAGTGAAAACTTGCCTTAACCCCCATATAACTAATATCAAGATTTTCAATATCCAGTGACTTTGCTCCTTATATATTTCATAATGTTATTTGAGCACCGTAATGTAACTCAGGAAATCTTCTTCTATTAATAATAATATACTAATATCAAAAATGGATAAAGTCAGGTTGACTACTTACTATCCCATATCCTAGCATAATTTTACACTTCAGGTTGTCGAATATTTCTGTCAGTGTAGTGTGAGTTATATATTTTATAAAATTGCTTGAAAATATGTTCTCGAGTATAACTGTGTAAGTTCAAAAGTTAATAATCTATGTTGCCCCAATATACCCTACATAATATTTTTGCCTTTCTACCTGTCTTGACCTGACAGTTGCAACCGAACTAAGCGCTTCCCTACTGGTTTCTGCTTAAATTTCAGTTTGTATATTTATTGGTATATGTACAGGTTGGTTTAAAAGTTTTAGCGCTCGAAATGAAAAAATACTGTTTTTGATACGAAATATATTTTTTTATTCAACATAATCTCCCTTAACTTCAATACACACATTTCAATATTCTTCCAATAATTTTATGCCATCGCTACAATGACTTTCCGAAAGCTCTGCAAAATACCCGTCTACGGCAGTATGAGCTTCTTCATTCGGCGAAAAACGCTTTCCACGAAGGAATTGTTTCAGGTTTCTGAAGTTGTAGTAGTCGCTGGGAGCCAAATCGTGTGAAAGCGGGAGCTGCTCAAGCAATTCGTATTTTAATTCGTTGAATTTTGTCATTTTTAAAACACCATTGTGAGCATGTGCATTGTGTTTATAAAAAATGATTTTTTGTGCTACAAGCCAGATCTTTTTTCACAAATTTTTTTCTTCCAGCCGATCCAAAGGCTACATTAATATTCAGAGTTGATTGTTTTACCTTCCTGCAGATAATCAATCAACAAAATTCCTTTTGCATCCCAAAAAACTGATGCCATAACTTTCTTTGCTGAACGCCGTGACTTCACCTGCTTTGGAGCTGAACAACCAGCCTCAGTCCACTGTAAATGTACCTGTTTCAATTTAGGATCATGGTGGTATATCCAAGTCTCATCCATGTTTATAAATATAACTATGCAAGAAATCAGTTTTATTCTGCTTAAAACGCTCCAAATTATTCTGAGAAATTTGATTTCGATCCAGTTTTTATTGAATTGTTAACGTTTGCGACACTAACTTTCTAAACAGCTCTTTCATTTGTAATTATCCATGCAAAATATGAAGTACTCGTTCGTCTGAGATGCCTATGGCATTAGTAATTTCACACTTAGTCAAACTGGGATTTTCACTAACAATATTATGAACTTGCTCAATGATTTCTGGTGTGGTTGCGGTTTTTGGTCGTCCTTCGCGTGGATCGTCTTCACGCCAAGTACGACCACGTTTAAATTCGCCAGCCCAAAATTCAATTTGAGGATAATAACTTCTTATACACTTCTAACAATTGTTCATAAATTTTCTTTGCTTGTAAACCTTTCAAAACAAAGAATCTTATCACTGCGCGATATTCAATTTTTGCCATATTAAAGAAATACTCATACTTCAAATGGCTTGTAAACAAAGAATTAATTGACAGAATGACTTGTAACTTTGCATGTGTTCTCACAGATGTACCAACTTGACAAAAAAAATTGGAGCCAGTAGTGCCATCTTTTGGTGAGAGCAGAAACTTTTTCACCAACCTGTATATATTACCTTAATAAATCATAAAACTTATAAATAGCCACAATAATATCATCCGATTGCTTTTTTTTTTGTAGTTAATTGTTTTCACATCCGATTTTACCGCTTAACAATAAAAACCAAATGTTATTCTTAGCCAACAAAGTAAATATGAAATCTATATAAAAGCTTTCCCGCTTTGGATTCCGTTCTTCTCATTAAATATTTCCTGCTGAATCGTGGTGTTTTTATATTAGCTTCTCAGTGCCAGAATGAGTGCTTTAATTGGAATAGAAACGCTGATTATAACGGCAATTATTCTCCTACTTTATGCTAGTTGGCGCTTGCAGCAAAAGCAAAAATACTATCGCAATGTAACTTCAAAGTTGCCTACCATTGGTGGTATTCCTTTTATTGGGCAAGCCTATCATGTGATTGATATGGGGAGTAAGTGTTGCGGCAAGTTGTTGTTGCCACAAAGCTGTTGCGGAACTTAATAGTGATTTAATTAACATAAAATTACAGAATTGCTCCATAAAGTTAGTGCTGGGTTTGATACTATGAAGACATTAACGGGTTGCGTATGGTTGGCAACAACGCCGTATATCCTTACCGTCGATGCTGAGGTTATCAAACATGTGACAACTTCACCAGAGTTGCTCAACAAAGCCAGAGACCTGTATACACACTTTGACGACGGTGCAATAAGTGGTATCATCGTGAGTCCAGGTGTGATGGCGCATAACGTCTAGCATATAGGTATATATTTTCCTTACGTTTTTTTTTTTATTTCTCTCACGAACAGCAAAGAAATGGAAAACCAATCGCAAGGCTATAAGCCCTTTTCTTGCACATAATAATATTACTGGTTTGTTTCCTTACTTCAATGAGAATGCAAAAAATTTGAAGAATAAACTAACAAGATTGGCTGGACAAGGTGAACAGGATATTTTTACAAGTATCAAAGAATGTGGTTTACAACTGAGTCTTTGTAAGTATATACAGATTAGAATATTAAAGTAAATATTTTACATGTTAAAAACCACAATTTTAAAGGCCGTATACATGTCTCTCTTCTTCTCTCTGTTGCATAGTCGCCAAGTGTTTTTTTTATAATTTGTAGCTCTTTGTGAAATCGATAACTAATTTACTTCAAATCATTTTACCATTTTAGAACATTTCATTTTTCTCGCCATAAACTTGGATTACAACCAATATACATACATATGTAAGGATGAAATGATCTAGCTCTATTATCAGCAATAAAAAACAATCAAAAGATAAATGAAAATTCAGAGTTTCTTTAGCACGACACTGAGAATATTCGACAAATGTAGAAACAAATCCTTAAACTCATTTAATTTAGTGTTTGTCATTAAAAGTCGCCAAATAAATAAGAACATAGTCAAAACAACTTTTTAAATCGATGTAAACACCACTTGTGCTTATAGAGAGCACTACATAAATGTTCACAGACACTAATTTTTAAACTCGCGTAAATGCACTTTTGATACAGTCACTTTCTGAACACTTATTCCCATTTTTTTAAATTCAGTAACCATTATGGGTATAAAGGTAGAAGAAGGCAGTGAGAAGCACAAGGTAATTCTGCAGGCATTTAATGGGTAAGTACTGTTCTATCAACCTGCTAGTTAAATAATAAAAAAAAACACTAAAATACACATTAAATTGCTCTGCAGTTTTCTTGATCATATGGCCAAAACCATCGCACTTAATTCGCTTGGCCTAGGCTTTCTTTCCCGTACTCCACATTATAAAAGAACTCTTAAATACTTACGAGAGTTAGTACGATCTGTAAGTATAAAAATACCACAAATATAATAAACATATATATACATGTATATATATAATACATATAATAATCTATGCTTAAAAATTATTTCAGCTTATAAAAGAAAATCTGACACAAAATGTTGAGTCAGAGGCCATAAACAATTTTGAAGAGAATAAACACTCGCTGATTAATTTAGCGCTAAAAGCTCTGCGCAAAGAAGTATTTACTGAAACTGATGTGGAAATTGAGTCTTTCACAATGATTGCTGCGGTAAAGCTATTATTACATTAGATTTTATATAAAAATTGCAAAATTTCTTTACATATATAAAAAATTTAACCATTTACAATTATTTTTCACATAAATTGTACAACAGCAACGCATTTTTCGTTAAAACCTCTTTTTTTGATTTTAGATGTATATCAAATTTTTTTTAATGTTTTAAATTTATATACTTAAGACTAAGCCCAGAAACTAACCATAATAATTCCAGTCTTACGAGACCTCTGTTGGCGCAGCTTATACTTGCCTGGTGATGTTGGCAATGCATCCCGAAATACAAGAGCGTGTTTTCCAAGAGATACGCTCCGTGTTTCCGGACGAAATTACATCCGTAGAATATGACGATTTGAAGAAACTTCCATATTTGGATATGTTTATATCGGAAGCATTGCGTTTAGTGCCACCAATAACCTATATCGGACGGCAAACTGTAAATGACACACACGAACTTTGCCCAGGTGTAATACTGCCTAAAAACACGCAAATTATTATACCAATTTATGAATTGCATAGGCGCAAAGAAATTTGGGGTCCGGACGCAAATCGTTTCAATCCGGAGAATTTTTCGCCCGAGAACATTGAAAAGCGTCATCCTTATTCTTACATGCTGTTCTCGAAGGGTCCACGCAACTGTATTGGTAAGAGTGGAAACTATTTCGTAGTTTTTGTATTTATTGTTATTTATTAACTAATCTGTTTGGCAGGCTTTCGTTATGCTGAAATTACGTTACGTATCATATTGATCCATGCGGTACGAAATCTAAAATTTTCCACAACTTCTAAATATGAAGATATCGTTTTTATACCAAAAGTTACAATGACTTATAAAAACGAACCACAAGTAAGCATAGAGGCCAGAGCAAACTAATTGAGAAAGATTTTTATTATCAGTTATAAATGTATATATATGTATTTTCTCTTGAAGATGTAGCTATTCACTTAATACTGATATTATATACAGCTGTACAGTAAGCAAATAAATGTTAAATTGAATATATTGTATTAGGATGTGTGTATTTTTTCATTCGTCTAAAAAACAGGCTTTTTTGAGATCTCCACATAGGCCTCTGTGGTGATGATGACTTCCGTATTCGACTCATTGTTCTGCCCGGCGATTGACTTTATCCAGTTTGTAAAAGAAAGAAGTCATAAAAGATCAAATCGAGAGAATAGAGTGACCATCGTCATTCCGGCCGAAAAGATAGTCTATCTATAGCAATTTTTCTTCCAAAAACCAGAATCCCGTTTTTTTTTTTTTAAACCTACGAATACTATGAATTTACACTTGAGTTGAAAATTGAGATACAAAACTGTAAGTTGATACAGTTCATTTCAAGTACATTTCTTACAAAGCTCTAAAGTTAAATTGACCAAACTTGCTACAAACAAGTCCCTCCAGCACCTCCTGATACATGATGTGTGAAAATGGAAGGAGCGCATAATATAATGGATGTCAGTCATAGACTCACAAAGCTTTTTTTTGTAAATTTTCCTTCGTGTCCGAGATATTTATTTTAAAATCACTATAATTATAAAGAGGAGTAAGTCTAATATAATATATTGGGTAGGTAACGAAAAGTTCAATCTGAAAATCGAAAAAATTATATTAGGGACATAGAGTTTGGTCCAAGGTCTAGACCGATCAGCGTTAAACCAGATTAGGTTTAGAAAAACACATGCACATAATTCCATTATAATTTCGCGCGTTTTGACCAACATAAGTGGTTTAAACTGGAGTAATTGATGGATCAATTTCACTCATTCTCGACATTAAACTATAATGTATACAATATTATGAAACCCTGAACAGGGTTTATCAAGTTTGTCACGATGTTTGTAACAGAAAGAAGAAAACGTCAGTAAACCAAAAAAAAAAAAAAAAAAAACTATACATAAGTATATCAATGAGCAGCGTGAGGAGCAGAGCCGATTTAGCCATATCCGTCCGTCTCCCCGTCTGTCAGTACATAAGCGAACTAGTCCTCATATGTCGGAACTGCCAATATTGGACCACTATAGCATAGTTGCCCTACAAACTGTACGATCAAAATCCAGTACTAAATAAACTTTTTCATTTCACAATATATATTCAGAAAATTTTGCCCGAATTATTGTCCAAGGCAACCACCATCTCCGAACAGATTGTTCTAACGGACCGAGCAAAATTAAAGTTGTTATATTTGTAAAGCTGGTCCGTTTTCGACCGTTTTTAGACACGAGATAGCATACTTCAGAAGCATTATTTAGGCATAGTTTTAACTAAGATAATTTCATTGGTTCTGGATTTACGTATTGTTATAGCTATCGAAACACACATTTCCTAAAATAATCGACATTCCATTTAACTGATATAAACTCATACCATTTATTTGCCTACAGTACATTAAATTTAATGAAAAGTTCCAGTCCATAGAAAATCATATAGCTAATGTATACACTAATGATGATAACATCAAACTTTGCCATTTAGTTTGCTCTGGCCTCTATGCTTACTGGCGGTTGGATCTTATAACCGAGTGTAACACGTGGAACATAAACGATATCTTCATATTTAAAAGTTGTGGAAAATTTGAAACTCCGCACAGCATGTATCAATATGATACGTATTGAGATTTCAGCATAACGAAAGCCTGTAAAATAAAATAGTTAATAAATTAAGAAATTATAATATAATGTCCACTCTTACCTATACAATTCCGAGAGCCCTTCGAGAATGGCATGTAGGAATATGGATGACGCTTTGCAATGTTCTCTGGCAAAAAATTGTCCGGATTGAAACGACTTGCTTCCGGTCCCCATAGTTCCTTACGTCTATGCAATTCGTAAATTGGTATAAGGACTTGTGCGTCTTTGGGCAATATTACACCCGGGTAGAGTTCGGTGTCATCTACGGTTTGTCGTCCGATATAGGGTCCTGGCGGAGCTATGCGCAATGCTTCCGATATAAACATATCCAAATATGGAAGTTTCTTCAAGTCGTCATATTCTACAGATGTGATTCCGTCTGGAAACACGGAGCGAATCTCTTGGAATACACGCTCCTGTATTTCGGGATGCATTGCCAACATCAGCAGGCAAGTATAAGTAGCACCAACAGAGGTCTCGTAAGACTGGATAAAAGAGAATTTTATTTTACTAGAATTTGTAGACTTTGTTAAGAGATTGAGTCTTAAGTCTGCAGTGTACATATATAAAGGGTATTAAAACAATTTTATTCAGCTCTGAAACCATAAAAATAAATGTTTATATAAAATGCTGTTTCGTTAAGCGATGCTAATATCCGATTCTCTTCCAATTTATGATAAAGATATATTCCAAAAACTATTGGTAGCATATTTTTTAAATGGTTAAAATCGTATAATGTTCTTAAATGGGAATGAAATAAATATATTAAAAATATAAAAAATAATTAGAACTTTACCGCTGCCAGCATTGTAAAGCCCTCGATGTCAACTTGGTTTTCATTAAATATTCCCTGACGCAGGGCCTTTATCGTTATATCAATCATCGCTTGTTTGTTTTCAACGAAATTGTTCATGGCCTCTGACTCAATTTGTTGTGCAAGGTGTTTTTTAGTGAGCTGCAGTAGTTTTTATGTATTAAATAATATGTAAGAATAACTTTTATGTGAAATATTTTTCATACTTACAGATCGCATTAAGTCTCGTATATATTTAAGAATTCTATTATATTGTGGAGTTCGGGATAGAAAACCTAGACCCAACCAACTGTACAAGAGGTCCTTTTCCATGTGATCGATAAAGCTATAATACAATTGTTTATTTTCGTTATTATTCTTTTTTAATTGACTAGTTTTTTTATGGAGGTTTTGTGAATTAAATATAAAAGCCGGTTGAACTTTACTTACACATTAAATGCCTCCACAATTTCCGTGTACGTCTCACTACTTTCTTCCAGCTTCATGTCCATAATAGTTACTAAAATTGTATAAAGATTGTTGGTAGGTTCAATAAATGTACGAGTAAGTATCTGAAATATTTGGTTTTCCTTTTGTTTAGTAAAGACAGAAAATAGGTTACAAACTCGAGTCAATGTTCTCCAATGTTGTTTTAATGGTTTTCTGAACGTGTTCGCATTNGTTTTTGAATTGTAAAATTATTAGTGAGCTTACTATTATAAATACCAGAAATGTTTATAATCATGTGCTTTATACCAGACTTTGTCTGAAAAATTTGTGGACCTAGATTAGATAACAGTTTTATGTACCATGCCCTAGCATCATATTAGCGAAAAGCTTAAACTTAAAGGTTTGGTTTTATACTTTCTCCTTCTACCAGAAGTTATAAACTTGAGTAACCAAATCATTTTTTACAATTCACTCATTGTGCACCACAGTTCCTTTCGCATGCGAGGAGATCACAAGTAATAATTTCAGAAAGAGATACAAATTACAAAATAAATAGGTTTGAAGACTCGGCTAAGCATCCCAACGTGGTTGTATAGTATATATCACACCAAGAGAGAGAGAGAAAATACGAGCATGTCTTTAAATTTTGTGATTCTTAAAAATACCTACAATAGATTTATTTTAAAATTATTTACTGTATATACTTACAAAGGCTTAGTTGTAAACCACATTCTTTGAGAATCGCAAAAATCTTCTGTTCACCTTGTCCAGCCAATCTTGCTAGTTTATTCTTCACATTATTTGCTTTATCATTGAAGGTGGGAATCAAGGAAAGAAGATTATTATGAGCAAAGAAGGGGTTTATAATCTTGCGATCGGCTTTCCATTTTTTTGCTGTTCGTGCGAAAAATAATAATTTTAAATAAAATTTAGACGCATAGAGGTTATGCGCCATTACCTGGACTTACAAGGAGTCCCGAAAATACACCGTTTTGAAAATGTGTATACAAATCTTTGGATTTATTGAGGAATTCAGGCGAGGAAGTAATATGTTTGATAACCTCAGGATCGACGGTAAGCACGTACGGCGTTGTGGCTACCCAAATACAACAAGTTGATGCCTTTAAGTTGTCGAAGACTTTACCAATTTTTTGGTATACTTCTGAAATTGAATACAAATTAATGTACTTATTAGTTACGCTACTCTGTTATGATATTAAAAATTTATCACATCACTTACTATTCACATTAAGCATCATATGAACTATTCCAATAAAGGGAATACCGAAAATTGTAGGCAACTTCGTGGTGACATTGCGATAGTATTTCCGCTTTTGATACAAGCGCCAACTGGCAGCGAGCAATAAAATAACTACTGTCATAATCAGCGTGTCTACTCCAATTAAGGCACTCATTTTCGCACTGAAATTCTAAACGTCTGTAGAATATATTAAATAAGAAGAACTGAGACAAAAACGGAAGCTACACTGACTTTTATATGAATTCCAGAAGTACGTTTGTGCTGTCTAAGAATAACATTTAACCTTAATTACTATGCGGTAATATCGGATAGGTAAAAAATTATCCGCAAAAAAAGTTAATCAGAAGAAATAAATTGCAAATACAACGCATTTGTTTGTATCTTTATGATTTTTTTTTATTATTAAAATATATATTTTCATATATCTGCGCATATTCATATAAACTGGCATTTTTAAAAAGATTATCAGAAGAAAACTGAACTACTCTCTGTCATCATTTGTTTCAATTGGTTGTTCTCTCATGAAATTTGTATATCAATTTGCTAATTTAAATCGATTGCACAATAAACATTTATCGGTCAGCTCGGCCAGTTTTTAAGGCAGCTATATTCTATAGTGGTCCGATGGATATTTCAAAAACTGTGGGACAAGTTAACGCACATATGTATGTACTTAGTGCTGCCATAAATTCTGTTGTCAGTTAAGGCCGTTCTAAAAATTAAACCATAATATACATTTTATTAGAATTAATTTTATTGAAAAATGTATATGTATATTAAGTGAGCTATGTATTTGATTCGAAATGTTCTTTTGTTTTCACAGATTCCCTCAAACGATTTAGCCATTTCACGCACAGTTTCTATTGGTATTGACGACGCTGCTCGAAGTAAAGATTTTTTGGGAATCTTCAAATTTCTGTGGGGTATTCGACTGTCTATGTTCTCCAACTCTGACCACCAACTGTAGTCCAATGGATTTAAATCTGGACTTCAAGACGTCTAATTATCTGCAGCTATAAAAGCAGGAATATTTCTTTTAAGCCACTGGGTAGTGGTTTCTGCCTCGTGTGCTGGAGCAAAATCTTGCTAGAATATCCAATTGAAGATAGTATTGCTTAACTGCTTTACCGCGGCTTCTAAGACATCCTGCTGGTATACTTTCGCAACAGTTTTAACCCTTTTCTCAGATAAGTGAAGAGGTGTAAGCTGCTTTCCCCGGAACGTTACGATCGACCACAACACGTGCGGGGTTTGATAGGCGCCCTTAACAAACGAAAAAAAAAGACAAAATGCATCAGTATACATAGCTTGAGAAGGTTCCTAAACTTAAGCATACTCAATTAGCAACAAAATGGTAATCTGATCGCCGATGACTAGTGCATGTGAATGGCAGTAAAAGTGCAACAACCAGAGATGATGGACCTAAAACCCCTACTGATGACGATAGAATAGATATTCCAATTCTCGACCATGACGCAGTACGAGTAACGATTGGCCGCTTGAAAAATAACAAAACGGTAGGAGTCGATCGCCTGCTGGCCGGGCTAATCAAATACAAAGCGATGAACTGGCAAGGTGCATCCATCAGCTTCTTTGCAGAATTGGCCCACTGCCATGGAACTGATTGGACACTATCAGTGTGACCTTAGATCTGAAAAATCCACAATTGATCAGATATTCACCATACGTCAAAGCACTGTTTCCATTAGATGTTCCTTTGGACTGAGTAGGCAATTTCATAGTAAAGTCCTCTCTCCACGAACTAAAACCAGAGAACGTAAATACATAGAGAAGGAGCAAATGTTAGCTGTTCTAAAATGTTAATTACGATGGAGGAACATCGAAAACGCGCAAGTTCGAAAATAAAATGGCACCACACCTATCAGGGTACGCAACGAACTACACCTCTATAAGCAAAATGTACATACATACATATGCGCATGCGATAGCGCAAAAATTGAAATAATAAAAACGCGGCATATTTTCTAAGTATTTCATATTACAACGACAACAAATTCATTCATAAGGAACGTGCGTCTGCTTCAAAGCAAAGTCGCTCGTTCATACTCTGCGCCGCGCTATTTTCTGTGCGCCTGGTAAACACATTTGGTTTTCATATAGAATTCCTACGCATATGCGAAATAAATGAATGAAATTGAGTAGAAACGAGAAAATTCAATTTTACTTTGACAGCCACCACTGAAAATCCTACCATCCCTCGCATTTGTATGTTGTCACAGCTGCTTCCTCACAACATTTGCTAAAAATCAGAAATTGAAGAATTTGTCTGATGTTCACTTCAGAAAGGAGAATTGGCAACATGACCTATTAGCGAGTTTAAATAATATTTATATTTTGCATATTATGCACTATGGCATTAAATTAAATTATATTAAATCCATTCATAGAAATCTTTAACTCTTCTATATATTCTAAGCACATCCATATAGCTTATATGTTTACTTATTATCATTGTTTCATAGTTATTTCGATTTAGCCCATTTTATCTAAATAGACGCTATGAAATGCAGCCCAATGTAATCGAATATTTCAAAAGAGCATAAGTCTTTCAATAAGCAAACCACTGCAAAAGGACAAACAAGATAGCCGACCGACATTGTCGTAAAATTGTCATTGAAACAAATTTTGTCAACTCCGCACGATGCGCAAATTCGGCGTCATGTATGCGAGCTCATATGTATATATGTATGTTTGTCGACAAAATCGTCATTTGGCTTTCACAACACAATGTCTGCGCGAACTCGCTGTTATTTCGTTGGCTTGCCACATACACAGAGCGTTCTAACTGAGGACTCTTGATATTATTATGTTGCTTATTTGTATTGAAAAATACTGATGCATTTATGAATTATTTTCGTAATATAATATATATAATATCATACCTATAATCGTTTTCGATAAATAAAATATATATCTGAAATAATTATGTGGCAGTGCGCCCAATCCTCTTGCCTGCGATCGTTCAACCTCGCAAAAGCAAAAAGGTAGACAAAGTCATTGCTTGTGCGGGGCAAGAAGACAAGCATCTGATTACCACTGTTTATTGTTATCTTTGTTCAATAAGCAATTACTCACTCAACGCATACATAAGTTGGAAAACTAGCCTATTAAATGTTTATTTTATTATGAATTCTGGGGTTTTTACCGTTAATACAGATTTTAATTCAGAAGGCTTTTCATGATTATAAATTTGTCATATCATAAGTGAAAACATAAATCTAAATGAGGTATGCGCAACGATTTTCATATAGGAATATTCGTTGTGTCTATTTATAACATTTCGCAATTGCGTGGTGTATTTTCTTTTTCGATGTTCCCTCATCTGGAACTACAAATTAGTACTCAAAAGATTTAATTTAACATTTGCTCCTTCTCTATTCATTTACATTCTCTGCTATTAGTATCAATGAGTACATCTAAAAATATATTTTAGAATGATATATTACTTTATATGGAATAAAAAGTACTATAGAACAAAGTATAAATCAGTGAATAAATTGTTGTATGTATTATTTGAAAATGTAATTTCTACATGTTTTCTTTTGTTATATAAAAGTTTATTAAATATATTTGTTCGTGAACTAATTAATATTCAGGTCGTATTTTTATTAGGAATCGACTTTGGTCGTGATTATATCTTTTGCCATATGTATATGCTGTATGTATATACAATATGGGGCTAAGTGACCGCTAAGTTGGAACTTTTGTATCTCGGACAATAGGATGTAAAATACGATTGTGATTCACTAACGGCAACATTATATAATATAAGGTTTTACTAACACCTGAAAGTATTTCTTTGTTTTTGGTCCTTGTTAATTCTGAGAATATAAAATGGTTGTTTACTACCGCAGTCAGCCCCTCCTTACTACAAGTAGTTGCATTTAAATTTCAGGCGGCTGTATAAATATTTCATATTCATAGGTAAAAGTTCTGCTTTGTATGTATATGTGGTCAATAAAATAGGAGTAAGTTATTTAGTAATAAAAGTTGCATATATACTTGTAGATATATATTATGATGAGCGTTTTAGGTGATTTGATTGATTGTTTCAAATGCGATAACTTGAGTAAAAGTTCTGATATCTTCATTTAAGACCAAAATAGGTTGGTATGAATAAGGTCCAAATTAAGGCACAAAACTACATTTACTACTACTATTTACTACAGGGGATTGCAGTGGTGTGGGGCATCTGTAGGTTGAAAGTTTTCAAAAAGTGGGTCTACCAATTTGTGTACTGTACACATCTCACAAACTCCTACAATAATGTATATTAACCAAACCAGTCAAGAAGAAGTATTTGTAGCTTCTCCTCATACGCAGTGAAACTTGGTGAAATTATATATAACAGTTATATATAATATATGAGTCATTCCATCCAAAATTATACTTCAAAAATTTTTTTCGTGAAAAACATTGTTTTTTTTTTGTTCCATTACCAACATTAGACACGAAATTTATAAATTAGTAACTGAAGAGACTAATGTACATTTTTCAGTAAAAAAAAACTGAATAAAATTAGTTCCAAATTAAAAAAAAAAAACAAGAAAAAACGTTCACTTCGGTTGCACCGAAGCTATAATAAAAATATCATCACTTCACAAATACTAAGGTTCCTTACAATAACCTGATTTCGATCTAATTTCGTGAAGATGCCTCGTCAAATAAAAAGGTTCTCCATGCAGGCACTTTATTCCGATTGTTCAGTTTGTATAGCAGCTATATCCTGTAGTGGTCCAACAAATGAGCAGCTTCTTAGTGAGAAAAGGACAGGTGCAAAATTTCAGATCGATAGCTTAAAAACTGAGGGACTAGTTTGCATATATAAGTTAACGCCACATACGCTGGAATTGACATACAAAGCTTTATTGCCAAAAACTAAAGCTTCAGGTGAGACTTGCACTAAGCAGTATCCCACGGGTAACTGTCAAATGACACCACACGTGCATCTGTGTAAATGCTGAGTCAACAACACCTTTGAGGACAGCGGTAATGTGACTTAGGTTTAATTTTAAGTTTAAGAAATTTTTGTAATCAGTCTAAGTTTTACTTTGATCAAATAAAGACGGCTTCGGCCTGGAAAATAAGATTTTTTTAAAAAAACGTAACATAAAATGTAATAACTGGCGCCCAACGTGCCAATCACGTTCGTGAATCCAAAATAAAACCCTCAAGAAGAGTGTAAGGTCCTGAAGAAGCACCACAAGGATTACGATACGGATTTGGACACCGCA